AATCACACATTTCAGCTCCATGAATCAGACAACACTCATGCTTTTTGTTTTACAAGCCCAAACTATTGTGAAGTCAAAATAATTCATCTGTGTCTGTCACTGGGTTACCATTTTTTGACGGCCTGCTACGAAAAACATATTTTCAGACATTACGTTTTATATAAATTGAGTATCCGGGCCAACAAATCCTTCTAAATAAGAGAAACCATATCAAAAAATGTATGCGAGAATGATTGGGCGAGTGTGTATTTTTTTTCCACTGACATGAATGAACTGATACATTGTTTACATTGAAAATACACATGATTTCTTTTCTCAAAATCATCGTTTCTTTTTCATATTTACGATTCGACCACTCAAATCATACCACTGATTATGTCCTCTCAAAAATATCATTTCTGTTTTTGTTTAATAATTCTGCCACTTCCCAAAATTATTTATTTTCATGGTTTCGTGACCTTTGAATTAGCCGTTGATACCCGTATTTGGGTGTTTTTTTATCGCCATCTCGCTACGATGTGTTACAAATGTGTCAATCACATGCCATTTTACACCCAATGAGTGTTTACAAACACTTAGTGGTTAGTCTTCGCCCTGTTTGTTTCATAGATTATTTATTTCCGTATCAATTGTTTTTTTTGGAAACTCTGCCAATTTTACCAAAATTATAGCTCATTTGTTTCTAATAGCTTCTGACTTTTCGATGCTCCTACAAACAGAATTTCATGTGAATACATCCCGATTGCATTGATAAACAGTCTTGGAAATCATTGCTGTTATTTCATCAACATTTTCTAGGAGATTATATTTTTGATTATTTTTGAGTCGTTGCAGTTAGTGTGTCTGTATGTATGTGTCTGTCCGTTCCACTGATATCTCAAGAACCGTACATTGTCTTTTGATGAAACTTGGTGTATGGATGCTCTGGACCAATGCGCAGATTTGATTAGGTTTTGGTAAAAACCCATGAATATTAATTACCTAATTTGCATGATAATTAGCTGATTTTTAGCTGTTCCATATCTGTTCCACTGATATCTGAAGAACCACTCTTCGGATTTTGATGAAACTTGGTGTATGGATTCTCTGGGCCAATGCGCAGATTTGATTAGGTTTTGGTAAAAATCCATGAATATTAATTACCTAATTCCATGACTGTTCCACTGATATCTGAAGAACCACTCATTGGAGTTTGATGAAACTTGGCACATGGATTCTCTGAACTAGTGTGCAGATTTGATTAGTTTTGGGTAAAAATCTGTGTATATTAATTACCTAATTTGCATAATGATTAATCAATTTTCGACTTTTCCACTGATATCTCAAGTACTAATCATAACATTTCAATAAAACTTGGTACATAGATGTCATATGACACTGCACAGACCTGATCGTTTTTAGGGTAATATCAGTACATATTAATTACCTAATTTGCATAATTAATTAATTTTCAGCTACTGATATTTTAAGTAGTAATGATCACATTCAATGAAATGATGAAC